TGTTCATCACTTCACAATGTTCGTGCTTTGGATTTCATACTTCTTGGAGAAAATGGACAATTAATAATTTGCACATGGGGAGCGATTACAGAGAACAGCAAAACTAAGGAACATTTCTAAAAAATTTGGAAACATTGAAAAGGAAAATGCTGAGATTTCTCATACCAAGGAACATGTTAATGAACTAGACTCTGTTTTGAAAATAACACTAGCTTTATACCATTTTAAAAAAATAGTAATCAGATTTAGTATTTTAGAAATAAATTCTATAGAATATATTCTCTGAGTTAATTCTAGTTTTTCTAAGTATTTTACATCAAATGTTCTGCAACCATACTGAAGTAGATGATAGAATTACTCTTTAGCCCCAGTGGGGAAGTGTAACACCCCTAAACACTAAGGATTTCCCATATCCTCCTTTTCTGTCCCTGTTCCTGACTGCTTCAAGAAATTAAACAACTGGCACAATGAACATGAGTTTATACAACTCATGAGCTGTAACACAGGAGTTTCTTATTTAGCAAATGCCTTTTAAAACAATATCATGGGTCTCTCTTGCTTTAGCTCTGAGTAGGGGCACCTGCTTCGCTACAGGAGCAGCCTAGACAAGGAGTTTCAACTGAGAGAATTCAGCTAGCAAAAGAAGACAATGTGCAGGGGAGTAAAGACTGCCTGTTGCTGCCAAGTATGGTGCTGCAGGCAAACTACAATCCTGCTGCTCAAATGTTAAGCACTCAACAAGTAAATGTTGTGTATTCAACACAGCTTTTATTCTAATTTTCACTGCGAAATTTATTGTTGAACTTTTGCTCATTAATCCAGTCCATGGAAAGGATAGCTTGCTTTTGCCATGTTTCACGTTAGTGATAAAATTTCTGTTCACTTCTGAGCTGGATTGGACTTTACTGGGCAAGTGACTGACTTTGCAGTACAAAAATTTTAGTTACGATGCCAAAACAAGAGGAACAATAAGGTATTTTGCCTGTTCTGTAGAATTATTTTTTTATCACAATATCTCCAAGTACCTTACAAACCAGAGCATAGAGAATGGAAGTGACACAGCGGGACAAAGGCAAAGCCAAGAGAACCCAGGTCTCCTCTGTCTGAGCCCAATACTCTCTATCCAGTATATCACATTTCTATCAGAGAGTCAAGAACATCTGAAATATTAAAAAATATAATCCATGTTCTGTTTTGCATACCAATGTATGTATACAATCTTTGACAAACTAGCTGTGTTTCGTGAAGACAGATACCCTCCTGATTGTGAGGCAGGGAATGCTACATGGTCAGTTTGTTAGCACGTTTACTGAAATACAACACCCAGACAAGATTAGAAACTGGATCCGGATCAATTAGCAATCCAGTGAGTAACACCACCATGAATACTAGATGGTATTAGCATCAGTTAACAGAGCAGTGAGCAGGCTGAACCATATTCATAGCAAGTGATGATTACTATAACAGCATAATCCGTGGCCTCAAAATAAATGTATGTCAACTCAAACTATGATTCACTAGAAGGAACTTATGTAAATGAAAAATAGTAAAACTTTACAAATCTAGAACTTTCTGATCTAAATGGCATACAGCTCATCAAAGAATTTTTTTTTTTTTTTAGAAAGGAAAGAAATATCAGAAACTTTTACTGTGGTCAGTACTGTGCTTTTAATTTTTTAAAGGACATTCCAGTGGACATGAGTTATAGCTCTTAGGAAACAATTGCAATTGCTGCAATTTTGCCAGAAAAGTTCTAATTTTATGTCTAAGTCAGTTAAAGCTTATATATAAACTTTAACAATGCATTTTTTCCAAGAGAGGCAAAGTTCACGTTATAGGAAAAAAGGCATCCAGTCTTAGGTGCTGTTCCAGTGATCTTCTGTGTGAAAATTCTGTTTTATTTTAACAGAGGGAAATGTTTTTGTTATGACTCATTTTTCTGAACTATGTAGTGTAATTGTAAACTATCTACCAATTGATTACCTGGCTTCTTAGGAGTGATTATCAGTAGCCAGATACCTTGGGAAATAAAGCTGATACAACTATCAGTAAAGTAAACATTTCCACAAATAATAGACTGTGTCGATACAGAAGCAAATACTGCTCTTTATCATTTAGTAACAGAACACTTTTATCACACAGAAATAAGCTTACCCAAAATTAAAGGACTCGTTATCAACAGGAATATTAACCAACTGGGAAATGGGGCATATCATATATTATTATATACTAGCCTGAAAAATAACATTAAAACATTTTCCGCCCCATGATTTAAGTTTATTTTTCCTTATATGAGTACTTTTTTCTTCTAAACAAAACATGAAAGTCAAGGGGTGGGAACCTTGACTCTCTCCTGATTTCTACAGCCTACTCCAGATTTCACAGTTAAATTAGCCTACCTGTTTTGGTCAGAGCTGTGACTATTTTTTTTCCCACTGTAGTCAACTTATACAAGCTAGAAAGGGCTTTCGCTTTGTTATTTGCTGGCATGCAATTGTTTGGGGAACAGGTTTAGCCTATATTGAAAAAAGAGGTTTCTGGGTTTTTTCCCTCAGTATGAGTTTCTCTCTGTTAGAAGGCCTGTGGATGATATCAGTATCGCTACCAGGAAATGTCCGTGAATTATAAACAGACTTGACTTTGTAACTTGTTGCAAGAACTAAACAAGATTTGTTTACTTTGTATCCTGAGATCAAATCTTGATCACAAAATATCAGATCGGATCAAAAGAAAGGTATGACTGACTATGTTATCACCAGGGAGTTAAGAATATTTTTTTCAACGCAAATCTTTATTTTGCGCATTTTACTTTTTGACTTCCAGGAATTAGCTGCTTTAAGCAAGGGAAAATACTGTTGCGCCAAGTTCTTTATCTAGTCACTGCCTTCTCTACTCTACCTAGTACAAGCTACTGGTTGTTATCCTATGCTGCAAGCTGTAGAGAACTTGGCTGTATTCACCCCCGATGCCCCAGTGGCTTGGAATGTATACATCTAAGTACTCAGAAGTTTATACAGATGCTAACATTAAGGAGGCCTGGGGTCTGAAGCCTGTGCCAATGGAAATATTAAATATCCATTATCTCAGTATTTTAAAGCTAGCTGAGATGTATTTTATAAAGTTAATCACTTACTGTGCTTGCTAATGTTATTAATTATATTTTTCATGTGAAAGCACAGGGGCTAAGAAAATAATTGCTTATTGCTCAGTAAGGGGGTGAACAATGAAACAAACTATTTCTTTTAACTTTCCCCTGAGAGAAATACCCTGGTGAAGTGTGCATGATTCTCCAGTAGCCAACACACTCTGAGGTTAAAAAGCTGCTACTGATTCACAGCTGCTGTCCCAGCTCAAGTAGAAAGGATTTGTGCTTTTGGTGCTGGTGTTGAGCAAGGGTGTCAAATTTAAGCCTGCCGTTAACGCAAGATGCCTATATTCACAGAGACTTGTTACATTTGCCCACAGAATACCTTGAACAGAATAATAGTATCCTTAGATGCAGAACTTTTTTATGAATTAACATGTTTATCTTTAAAAATAAAGATGGGTATTTGCTATATAGAACTGAAGAATACATGCGCTTACCTGGCTACTCAGCCTTTAGAGAAAGAGACTAGAGTGTTCTGTGACTAAGGGGAACAGAGGCTAAGGAGCCACTGAGCCAGATAACCAACATGACTGCCCTCTCCCAGGAGATGGAATACGATGCAAGTGTGGAATCCAGTCCCTAGAGAACTAAGACTTTTCAACGCAATTCATATAAAACATGTAGGACTTCTTGTGGAAACAAGTAAATAAAAAACCTTTCCAGCTACTACATGGAGTAAAAATATTTTGCTAATTTAGCATAAAAATGAGAAATCACTTTGCCCAGATTTCATATAAAAACAATTAAGTCAGCTTATTTTTTTAAAAAGCATATTTTAAATCTGGCAGTTTTTCTACTGGAGTACTGTACATGATGTTGGAAAGAGCTTCTAACCAGAAGAGTCACTGTTACAGAGCTAAAATTTACACTGTGTTTACATGCATACTGTTAACCATCTAGATTTGACACAGATAAAAACTAAGATGCTGATCCCTATTTTGACAAACAAGACAGGTCTACGCTTCAACCCACTTGATGTATAATAAATAAAATTTCAGGATTAGAAGAACAAAAATGTTAAAATAGATTTTGAAATCAAAATAAGGCAGTGTAGAATTATCAGTGTAGAGAAAAGCAGGTTCCTATACCTCCTTTTCGAGAAGAAAGCAAGGTTGGTTAATAAATTAAAGGTTGAGATACAGCAGGTATTTTAATTCCCATTTCATTTAAAAACAAACGGAGTCCAGGGTAACAGATATCCATGAGATGCATGTGCTATTTTGCTTGCAAACTTTAGCAGACATAAAATTTCTGAAGCTATGCTTCCTCACTGAGTCTACTGGTTCCTAATTAGACCAAATGACTCTGTAAATCTGAGATATGATTAGAAGTCCACAAACGCCAGTCTCATATTTCATAAAAACTGCTGAATATTTAGGAAACCTAGACACTTCCACATTTTTTCCCATGCTTCATTTAAACTTTGATCAGCAAGACTCTGCTTTTGTAAATTACCTACTGACATATTCATAAACTGGCTTGGGAAAAATGTACGGGTTTTGTTACAATGAGTTTTAAGATCTTACATACACCTCAGAGTCTGGAGCTATGGCATTTGTCCAAAATAGTTCACAGTTCCCGCAGTTAATACAGTACTGCAAAATGGCACTAAAGTGCATAAGTATCTGAATGTTTGTTGGGCTAAAAGGTGCTGTGCAAGCTTAAGCTACTGCTTTGCCATTATATACAAGATCATTTTTCTTTGGGGAGGGGGTACTAGTTCTGGAATGCCACTGGCTTTCATTTTAACAGAGGATTGTCTACCTTCACCTTTCTAGAAGATGTAAATGCCCCCTTTCTGACTCTTCTGTTTGTCAAGAACAGTAAAAGAGAAAATAGTACACTCTAAAAATGCGTTTCAAGATAATTTACCAGAAATGGTATTTAAAAAAAAAAATTAAAAATAAAAAAAAAAGGAAGAATACGTGGTACTCCAGATGAAAAGTGGACATGCTCTTTGTAACTAGCTATGGATCTTCTGCTCAAATGAACATGCTGTTCATGTTTACCAAAACATGAGCACTAAACTACCATAAATAAAATACATACAGTACAGAACAATTAAAACTTTTTTGTACAGTAGTTACTTTTACATTAAACTTACCATCTTCTCAGATATGTTGAAAATTAGGACTCTAAACATGATTATTTCAAAGTATCATTTTTAACAATCTTGCACAGGCCCGACAATCAAAAACACGAAGCTTTGATTCAGATAGCTTGGCAGGTTTCACATACGTGGATAGGTAGGCTACTTTGAAATATGTTGGGTGTGTATTTTACTTACGCGTTTTATTTTTATCAAAAGAGAGTTTGATTATTTTTATTTAAATCTTTACATGAACTGTTTTTGTGCAATACCGCTGCCAGTGTAGCTTGAGAAAACAAAATGTGTCTGGAACATTGACTATAGTCCAAGTGTCGACCACCTCTTAAAAAAGTAAGATTCTAGGAAATCCAATGTGAGTGCATTTTAATACAGGAAGTCAGTCCTAGAATAACTTTCCTATTAAACAGGTACCGTTTCTACCACTGGTGATTTGATGCACTCTTCGTGCAGTCTGCTCTTTTCTGGGAGGTTTAGTGAATTCTCAGCAGGGTGCTCTTGTACGCGACTGTCGCCATTCAAAGCTGAAACAAAGCCATCTTGAGAAGGACCTTTCAAGTATGAGTGAAATTCCACTTGAGGGTGACTTGGCCTATGCTCAGTGTATAAACTGTTACATGGAGCACTGCTATCACCTTCAGAAGATGAGCAGCAAACAATCACTGAGGGGTTTGCAGAAGGGTAATGAGGGCTGCTAAAAGTTTCCTCTGATTGCCGTGCGTAGTCAACAAACTGTTCTGAAGTCATGTTGTAAGGCACCAGAGAAAGACTGCCGTTCTTGACAGCATCCCTTTCTGAGTAAGTCTCACCGATCTGGTTAGCAGTGCCAGCAACATGGTTCTCTATTTGGTAATACAGATTTGAAGAGTTAGTATAGTATGAGGCATTTTTAGAGTGGTTTTCATGCACAGCGGTTCCATCAGAGTAGCAAAGGACAGAAGGAAGAGGCACCATATCAGCATGGGAGCCCATGCTTTCTACAAAATCATCTGCTTTTTCTTCCTCCTCATCTTCCTCCTCATCTTCCTCTTCCTCTTCATCATCATCTGATTCACTAGGGGCTAAACTCTGTGTGCTAGAATCTGTAACTCCACTACAAAAGCTACTCCCATCTTCCTCTTCCTCCTCTTCCCCTGGGCAGTCCAAGTCCTCGGCTGACTGAGAATGCATAACCGCAGCCGGAGGTTCAGTTTCAATCTCAAAATTTTCTGCAATTGAATATTCAACCGGATGGGGTCCTGGACTCATAGAACTAGTGTGTGCACTTAGCTCACTGTGGCAGCCATTTAGTGCTGGAACTTGCTGCTCTCTGTTTTTCTCCAATTCAAGTTTCATTATTGTGTGCAAAAAGTGAGTCCGTACACGGATAGGATTAAATTCAATTCTACCTGCTGTATTGCTACACCCTTCTTTAGTGCAACCGCATGGAAAAGACATACGATCCACCTTTTAAAAAAAAAGAATACAGATTAACAATATGTAGCATAAGCCTGGTGATATGACAGAACCTAGGCAGCCTAGAGCAATACAATAGCAAAGTGGGATTCATCTTGAGAAGTACCTGTAAGAACAGTGGAAGCTAACAACAGTGGAGAGGGTTAGCCCTGGAATTTAGCGCTACTGATAGGAACAGTAAGGGACCCATACACGCAACAATATTGCAGAGTAGGAAAAATAAGTTTCTGTTCCATAGGTGAAAGCATGCCACAGTGGAACAAAAAATAGGTAGTTTTTCTATTTCTGGATCTGCTACAGCTTTACGGCATGTTGTGTTCAAATCCAGGCAAATGCATTACCAGGAAGAGTCTTAATGTTTGATAAAAATCATGGAAACTAGAAACCTACTGAAAGAGAATGAATTATATGCAAAAACCTTTATAAAGTGGCCAATGCGGACACCTGACCACAGAAAGTAGGAATAAAAACTCAAGTACATTTTAAAAGATATTCCGGTCAACTGCCAATGCAATATTGTAAACTCAACAGACTGTGGGCAGAACTCATATATGTCTAATAATAGCCATCTTAAATTTCTAAAAATGTGACTGAGTCCACAAGTCGGATAGTTCAATTATTAGATAGCTTAAGGTCTATGATTTTCATCTACACTATAATACCTAAACATCGAATATGATGCAGAGGAGAACCATGTAACACAATCATCTTGTTCATCTTCCCCACACGTGAAGATGAAAACAGGAACAGCAAAGGGAATATATTATTTATAATAGCAGAGAAAGTTTAGCTTGGATTTAAGAAATGATGAAAAATGCATTCAGGAAGAAATCAACTCAGCTGTATAACAGCGACTCAGGAGAGTTAGTGGAAACATATTTTAGGGAACATTTTGGGACGTTTACAGCTGTCCATAGGACACTATGTAAATGTACAATAGAAAATACCTTTTCAGTCTGCAGAGGAAAGACTACCTGCTGTTTTAGCAGATGTATTTTTTTATACATGTATTTGCCTACATGCAAATGTATCATGCATGCATTTTAAGCATCATGCATGTTAAATAAAGGACGGTACCACAGAGTTTCATTTACTGTTTCTCACTAAGTTTGAACTGTAATTCACATTTGGACAAAAAGTGAATTGTCTCTAAAATAAAAGGTAATATCCCTTCTGAAATCTGCAGGCTACTGATTCTTCTGTTGTCTGCATCTGCACATTTAGATAAAGGCAGAAGAGGAATATGAAGAGCAGAATATTTGTATAAGAACCAAAAAAAAAAAACCCCAACTAAACAATGTATGTGCCTAAGCCAATCATAAAATAAAGATGTTGAAGAAGATTGTTTGTATTGCACACTATATACTGTTAAATCTGGGCCTTAAAAAAATGGTTTGAGATCCACAAGTGTTACCATTTAATAATTAACTTAATTAATTTCCAGTAGTTATAACTTCAACAACAAAACGTACATGCATGTGTGCGCACACCCTCCCTTCCCCCTTCCCTTGATAGTTAAATAACGACAATAACATAGACATTTACCTGACATTTTATGCCTGCAAGACTGCAAGTGCAAGTTTCTGGATCACAGAACACACGGCAGTCACAGCCACAATCCTCTCTGGACAGGCGGATGGCCCGCAGCTCGTGTTTTTCTTCCACATCAATCTTCTTCACTCCAGAAGCTCGCAGCAATGCCCTTCGCTTTTTTGTCGGCAGAGGTTGTAGGAAGAAGTACTCATCTACTTCAGTGTTGTCTAGATCAATATCGTCATCAGAAATGTCATCCAGCGTCAGCGTATTCGCTTCTTCAGATTCCACTGTACCATTCTTTGTCATCTGTTCCATAGAACAATTAACAAAGTCCTTAAATTATACTCACACATATATGTATATGTGCCATAGATGTAAATATGTGTAACGCGTTATGAATGTGGAAAGCTGTATGTAAAAATGCTGCATGACTGCCATACGTTCCAGAATATGATTACAGATGGCAGTTCTTTCACATTTAGCGTGTGAATTAAATGCACTTTTTTAGTTTCACGTTCGCCATAAAACTAATTTTTTTCTAAATTTCTAATTTTTTATCTGTTCTTTATGTCCCTTATCATTTGTCATTGTTTGCCAGACCTCATGCCTTTCTAAAATTCTAGTCTTTTCTATATTGTTTCATAAGATAATTTCTGAGCCCTTAATTGATTCTAGTTCCTGTCTCTGGGCTCTCTGAAATTCTTCAGTATCCCTATTGAGATAGTCATTATACCACCAACACTGTTTCAGATTACGATGCCTCGCAGATTGGTAAAATGGTGTATTTTATGTACTATTCGCCATCCTGTTCCTCTTTAGCCTGACGAGTTGTTTGATATTTGTACAGCTGAGGTCACAAAGCAGTATTTCCACTTAATCGTTTGGGCAGATGCCTGTATTTGCTTCTTGAGTTGACGATTTTAAGCCTGGAAGTCACTTAATTTTTGCCCCTTCCTACCTACATTACTTGCACGTTTATTTGCAATGTATTTCATGGTGCTGATGCATATAGCTCTTCTGAAGTTCCTTCTAGTCCTCTGTGGTCCCAAAAATAACCCGGTTAGCTTTGTGCTGTCACACATTTTAGTATTTCACTAACCAGTCCAGATTCTTCTTAGGTAGTTAATGAATGAATAAACTTAGAAAAAAAGGAAATAAGTTGTAACCTCTTGTGGAAGATCTTGAGAAAGGTTTTAGAGCTCCTTTCCTAGGGATATGAATTTTTGAGCCTCTATAGACAGAAGTATCCTGGCACTGTGTTATTACCTAAGCACAGCCCAGCTCTCAAACCTTTCAGAAATTGTTTCAAAATTAAATGGCCATCAAGCACAAACATCCAGTGCCACTTTCATAAGATAGCACACTTCTGTACCACACTCCTGTAACTCATCTCATATAGAAAGGGGTGTATATATGCAAGGAGAAAAGAAAAATAAATGTACCGCACTGAAGTAAGGTTAAATTTTCCCACCCATGGTAGAGCTCACTGGTTATATCTGCCAGATAACACAGCTACAGGGTTTATAAAAGTTCTTCTACAGAGAAAATTGCTTGAGAATCAAAAGAATAGCAAATTAAAAAAAAAAATTCAGCGAGATGATGACACACTCACTCCAAAAAATGTATTTTCTCAATCTCAAGTTACTCAGATTAAGTATTGTACTACATAGCAAATGTGAGGCAAGTGCAGTTATATGATTTATTTTGTCAAATAATAAATCCTTTTTCTTGTATTATTGTTCTACGAAATAATTTTGCTTAAAATGAAAAAACAAACAAACAAACAAAAGATTCCCCATGTTCAGCCTGCTCTATGTAATGTTCTCAATTGATGAGGCCGCTGATTTACACTAGCCAAGCACCTGGTCTCATACTTCTGTAAATAAAACATGGTGCAACTATGTGATAATTATACACCGGTGAAGGCTCAAGTCTCATTTGCGTTAACAGTCTCACCATGGGCATCACTGTGACCTCAGAAAAACGGCCCCCAGTCAACATAACTGGAATGTTTCTTACCTACAGAAAAATAGCCTTTCAAATTCTTTCTCTGTTTTGCCTTATTTACTCACAGAAAATTTCAGCTTGGCCTGTTATCCCAAATAAGTTTTTGGGCACCAGTTTTACATACAGATAAAATACTGAAGTCATAACTACCATTGCCTGTTCCTTGTGCATTTCAATGTTTAGACATGTAACAATTATCACCATAAAGGTAACTCCTCTTTTTTCTGCTACTCAATCCTGTAATCTCCATCTAGCTACGTTTCTTACGTGTAAGAAAGCAGTCCTGCATCTTATCCATTCCAACTATTTCTGCTTTTATTATAGTCCCAACCGTTTCCTTTTCCCATTTATATTAACAGTTTGTCCTTTCCACCATCTTTCAGATTGTAACTGTCATTTATGGCATTACTGAATTACTCAACGGTGAACTCCTACTGACTGCTTACTCTTTTCTGTAATTGCAGTTTTGTGTTTGTAACACCTGTGTAAGACAAGCACAGAAGAAAACCCCGATTATTCCTGCCTTGTAAAGTCAGGTTAAAAGCAACACTCTTCCCTTTGAAGGAGAAGAGCCGCAGAGTGATGACTGGTAGTCCTTACACACAGTGTGTGTGTACGCAGTACCCTGCGCAAAGGAAAATTCCCCGCAGATCAGTACTCATCTCTTCTTAGCAATTCAGCACCACACTTGGTTCAGGCAGAGGTGTTCTGCCGCTCCCACAACTCCACTTTAGAGGCATTATTGTTTCCTTCTCTTTTCAATGTATTCTCCATCTTTCTCTGTAACTGCAGCCTTCAGTGCCTATCTCATGTTTCAGTTTATTTACCATGTCTGTTATCCCTATAACATTCAAATCCCTTTATGTGCATATACTTCCAGCTCTTTCTTCATATTAAATGCAGGCATTTTCAAAACATCCTTACTCTATTTTCTATTACGCATTCACTTTACAGGGGCTAGGAAAAGGGGTAACAGCTCCTTCATCACTTCTGCCTGGCCCTGGGGCAACGGAGATATTATTTACACCAGGTATTTCAACGTATTAGTTCAGTAAGGTAGGAAAGACAACATTAGAAGTCATCCTTTTTCTGTATACTCTACGGTGAGAGACAGTAAATCCACAGAGTAATCAAATGCATCTTGAATTAGCTGTCTGACGCTAGTGGGAGGGAATACTCCACTGTACATGCAATGCAGCCTGAATGTTCAAATCCAGAATGGCATTCTTGATTTTTTTTTTTTTTTATATTTTTCATTTTTTTTGTTAGCTAGGTACAACTAAGTACAGTGCATTTATGTTTCTTTGCTTTCTTTTCTTTATATAATAGGAGAATGACCTACCGAAGAACTGTGATTTCTCTAGTTTTAAATACACAAGGCTCAAACCACTCCTTAAGCAGATCACTGTTATTTAATTGCCTTTAATTTTTATTTAATTTAAGTTTGAAACTGGGGAAGGGGAAGAATTCTAATCCTTGCTTCTGTAATCATGTTAGTAATTTATTGAATTACTATTTAATAAAAATTAAGTTTCAGGGCTCTTACCCATGAGGTGAATGCTGTAACTGCTCAGCTCACAAAGGCACCTACAGAACCATAGCGAGTCTGTCACGTATTTCTCCTCCTCCTCCTGCAAATCTTAACTGCTTTGCTACACAGCAGTAGAGCATTAAGGAACGGCCTCCAGTCGGGCGGGGAATACTGTACGCATCCAGCAGGCTGCAAATTCAAACGCCTGGGCATCAAGTGGGATTAGACAGCAGTCTGCCATTTCAAAGCACCCTAGCTCCTGACTCCTTTGCTGGATGACTTCCTTCTTGTCTCCTCTGAGTTTTTTTCTCCAGTTTGTCACACAAAGAACAAATGAATTAATAAAATGAAAGATCTGGACATTTCTCAAACAAGTAATTGGGTAACTACAGAGGGAGGAAGATTATCAAGAATCATCAAACACATTTGCCAATACAGAACTTCAGGGGAACGTTAAGTTCTCTTGATTGTCATAATATTGCTCATCTGAATTAAACTCGATATGTAGATGGGTAGAATTTCTCTCATAAAGCTAAAGGTTAATGTCATAACAATGGAATAAGGCAAGGGCCAACGAATATGTGAAGCCTTTGGGTAAAATTCACTTCAACTCCATAAAACGTTAAAAATTTAGGTTAGACGCCTTTGCCTGCCCTAGCTGGAAATTATTCCTTACAATTTCCCACAAAGGAAACCAACTGTGTCCATAGACCCCAGAGCCTTAACATCACTAGGGTCATGCTAATCAATTGAATAGATCTTAATTTGAGGAGACGTTATGAGTAAGCAAGAAGGACTCTTCCAGCTAATTTATTGTGCTTACTCATAATGTTTTCTCAAAGGACAATGTATCAAAGTGAAGCCTACCTCGTGCCTTTCATCTTGACAAGGTGGCTTTTATGTCCAAATTGCCATTAGAATTTTCACGCTCCGCTGCTAGCGAGTGTTTATGCCACTGTCAGCAGTGTTTACACCAAAGTGCTGGTGCTAAATGGCTAAAGTGACTTGAAGATGATTTTGAAGTCTTTACCTGCTTTTAATTAAGAGAAGTTTCCTATTTGGCTCTTCACTCTTAGCAAGTAAAATAATAAACAGTACCTAATATTATGGATACTCAATTCCAATATATTCCCGTATTTCTGTTTTTTTAACAAATTCTACAAGCCAGAATGCTTTCTACCTACGGACTTGCATATTTTAATCCAATGCAAAAAACTAAAAAAACAGGGAAACTGAAATTAAAAACCACACTGAAAATGTTACTTTCTGTTTTCATAATGGTTTTCAAACAGAAAAAAACCTTTTGAGCAAACTTTGCCCTACTTCATTTTCCCATTTTCTTCATTTTTCCATGCAGATGTACAGTAATTTAGATGAAAATCCTAATTAGTACATTTTCATTAAAGATCACAATCGCTGACATTGTCACCTCAGAACTCTACAGAGTTTCGTTTTTGTGTTCATTCAGAAACCATGGGAATGACCAAGCAGCTCTCCCATCCCTATAATGGGAAATCAGCAAGGCCCAGCTGTCTTAAGCAAATAAAACATGCTCAGTGCTGTACAGCGACTCTTCACTATCATTTGGCGAGTCCTGCGTTTGCTTTTGGGAGGGAAAGTGGTTTCGTTTGTTTATTTTTCTACCCCAAGTGTATAATCAGGGATGCAACCTAGCTTAGTTTGATGGACTAGTTCAGGAAGGAAGTTTTCTGTTCCCTATGTTTTTATATATGCTCTAGAGTGAAGAGAAATACTTCACTCTAGCAAAAGATTTAACCCTAGTGAGGCATTACCATTTTTACGCCATTCTCAGGATTCTGAAGACCTAACCACAATTTCTTAATATTTGAATTGAAACTTTGGAGTCAGCTTACCCGTCTCAGAACATGCTAGTAAACTACTCCCACATCAACTGCTGAGGAGCAATGAAGAAAGAATCCCACCACTGTTGAATTAAGGGCAGGGGAAAGGACTTTTCTACTTGGTAAAAGGAAACAATTAAAATTAGGACAGAGGGAGGAATGCAAATCAGGCTGTCATTATTCACTGAATACTTATAAAGAGATTTTGCAGGAACTTAACAGTCACAGTAAAGATTATCATCCACTCAACCAAGTGACCAGGGAGATGAAAGAACACGTCATATTTGGAAGAGGAGCAGAAAGTAGAGTCTACATCCCCAAAAAAGAGTGGGCTGGAGTAAAGTAAGTTAATGAAGAAAGGAGATCCATCCCAGAAGCCAAGAAGAGAATTACGAAAGCACAGAGCCAAGCTCTGTTCCACACCAATGCAGGCTAAAAGGTCCCATCCAATCTTTAGAGGTAAACAGGATCTGTGATTTTTTTCTTGATTTACTTTCTACCTACAAAAAGAAAAGGAAAAGTGAAATATACCCCCGGGGATTCCTCTCTTTGAGCCGATTCCTGGCAGTCAGCCAAGGGATCTACACAGAGTCATTGGCTACACTGACACAGCTCAACTCACACTTGATGCTCTGAAGAGCCTGTGATGCGAGATGTTTAGAGGTGTAATCTCTAACTAGTGGTCAGTCACTAACACTCTAGCCTTTGGTTTCAAACCTGTCCAAATACTGGTCTTTAATTTGCCTTCGTCCTGAGTGGTTTTATGTTTGCTTTCATTATGACAGTTAAAATTTTATGAACTATTTAAGAATCTATTTAGCTATTCAAATAAAAAACAATTAGGAGATTGAAAAAAGTAATTACAATAATGAGGGTCATACACACTTCTTCAGGAGGTCAGACACAGAACTCATGAACATAGTACATTCTATGGGAAAAATGCTGAAAGGCATTTCTTAAACTCGGAGGGTGCCAGTTTGCTCTGGACAACTGTAGTAGTATCTGAAACAGAGACACAATATCACGAAAGAAGGGGCTATGGAGCACAGTTCAGTTACAGTTCTAAATATTGTTCACTTTTAATTACAGGATTCATCTGAAAAAGAGCCCAAAGTACGTGTCACACAAGCCATTATTCAGGCAGTGTTTCATCCACTACAAAACTGCAACAAAACCAGAAGTTTTGCCATCCGTTTTAGAGGCAGAAGGGACACTTCCAAGAACACAATCCCCTTCTCCATCCTCCTCTACTCAAGCACACAGTTTCTTTCCTCTCTTAGGCTATATTTAAAAAGACACCTTCAAAAAACTGTAGCCAAGATTTGTTCTGACTAGCTAAACTGATACAGCCAGTTAATTTCTCTGACACATTTCTTTGTTAACACAGACATCCTTTGGTGAAATATTAAAGACACACGGTCGTAGAAATTGGTACACTGAAAAAAGAAAACATTTTTAGTATTACTGTTTCTTACTTTTTGCCAAATTCGCTCAAGTTGGCCAAGAAAATAAGCTCTTTCACTTTCTGTACTTAGGACGTTCCCATTCCCTTGTCTAACAGGGCACCGTGCAAGGGCTCAGGAGACTCATTCTCTTCCTGGCACTTCCAGACTTCCGCTGCACGCCCTGTTCAAGGCTACCTTTCACCACCCTCTGCCTGTTTTCGTCTCTGTAGAAAACAGAGTAAACGACAACCTCCCTGTAAAGCGCTCTGAGGTACACATCGATAAGAGCTACAGCAGCACTTGGTGATATCAAACAAAAATATGTCTTCAGTAAAATAAAAAAAAAATGCCATTGGTTTGATTGAAAATGGAATGACAGAAAGGAAATGGTTTTGTTTAAAATACACCCATTGGGCCCATATAGCTCTGACGCTGCTCATTTAAACATATAAGGCAGGGATCAAAGTTTTGAATAATTTTTTACCTTTAATTTTAGGGAATTGAGTTTTTCCTCCCTTAAATGCTCTCTTAACATCTCTCGGTGAAGCCTCTCCTGTTCCATCGCAAACTCTCCAAGTGTGTACTGGCGCACGCTGTTGTGGCGAGTAGACATTCCCAGTGTGCTTCCCCCTTGGCTGGGAACACTGGTGAAGCCTTGCCTTCTCGTGAAGTAATACACAGTAACACAGTTAAAATGGACATTTTTTGTTCTCTTCCGCTTCTCTCTCTTCAGGATTGAAGAAGCTAGAACAGATGCAGATTACAGTATGAATGATAACTTACAGTCATATAGCAAATTCGTCACTTGTGTCGTTCCATTTACCTTAACCATACTTATGTAAAGTTCAGAGGTGTGCAGCCTAAATGAGGACATAACATTAGAAATATTTACTGCATATGCAAACCTAGAAGCCATTACAAACCGCTACAAACATGAACACTATTGTCTACTTCAGAAGAGAAGCTCTTGGCCAGGACAGTCGTGTTTTCCCATAGCATTATAAAAATGTTTTATCCTTTTACCAAGGAAGGAAATAAATCCCAGCAAAAGGAACTTCTTTCACAGTGCCACCTCACAGACATCGATCCACTGACTTGCTCCTCTTCAAAACCCTGCGAACAAAACAACGTTGCGTGTGACAGCGGTGAGGGGAACAGCAGACCCACGTCTCTCACAGGTCTATATACACCGTTACTATTCTGTCAGCAAGGCTTAGCTGTAGAGATCTATAACTACACCTTTAAAGCATTGGATTACATTGGCAGAAAAGATTCCTATCTCTTATAATCTAAAAGGAGAGAAATTAGTGTTAGAAAAACCATGAAGGCAATATGTTTAGTGTTTCAGACCGTCTCAGAAATTCATATCATCATCATCACAGAATAATATGGGAATAATGCTGATTAACAATCAGAACCATTTCCTTTTTCTTTACCTTCATCCTTCTTTCTGCTGCCATCCACTGAATACATGCGTGGGTGTGCATGTATATATTCTAATGTGTAGAATTTTGACAAAAAATTAAATCTAGTCTTTTCTAATTCTTTTCTGGTTCCCCTCACACTGTGCTCATTTTTTCTTAGACATGTATGCAGTATCATATGAAGTGGATTTGTTTAAAAACAACTGCCAAATTTTAGCTGTTAAATATTGTTCTTTTTTCTACAGATATTTAGTAACTCCTTCCGATCATTGTTTCTCACTGCTAACAGTGGTGAGCCTTTAGAGGAAAAAAGAGAGAGACAGGACACAACCGTTAGAGAAAGATAAGAGACACTCCTTGATTTCTAAGATGAAGAGCCTGATTTATTTGATTTATTGCAAAATGGCAATAGGATGTTGAGAATGTAGATAATAAGTCATTGCTTTGCAGTTTACAGGCCACAATTGGGCAGGTGTGAACGAGAGACCTAACTGCCAGAATTCAGGCAGTAAAATGATTTAAAAGGTGCCTGACCACTCTCAAAAGCCTTGGAGCCATTCTATAAAAGCAGTAAGAGCAACATGATGTACACTGCTAACCTAAAACTGCACCATCTCCACAGACTGGAAGCACTTGGCCTTCAGCTTCGGTTTCGTAACAGGTCTGGTTTATTGTCACAGTTAAAACATAGTTCATTCTCTAACATTATTATGTAGTGAAATGTTAATCACCACAAATGTAAAACCCTCAAACTTTTACATGAAGTAATTCAGTCCAAAAAACAGCATAATGTACTGAACTATATGAAAAACAAGTATATTAGAAAATACAGTCCTGTAACCAAATTACAGACAGTATGCCCTACTGACATAACCATAAAACTATCTGGCGTTCAGTAAAGCATTGAAATAGTATTCTTTTTCCTAAATACTGACAAGCAGCTGAAAATATGGTTTACTATATAAGTAACATGCACTTCTTCAGATATGCTGCAGGTATGTTAGATTAAAAATATAGAACAGATAAATAAACTCGGGTCCTATATTCACTTCCATGCTCCCAGTGAAGGGTGTTCCAAAAAAGGTGTAGGATGTACACAGAGGAATCAAAAGACAAATTCTGTTACATTAGGCATGTTTAAACTTATATCCAAATTGAAGCAAATCTCGTATCGACAGAGCCTGTCAAAAATACTTACAGGAAGCTTTGAGTGGGGGAAGAGGGTTACTTTGTCAGAAGAGACTAGTTGATAGGGGTGTGTCAATTTTGCATGATATTGAAAATTGTTTTAATGTACTGGGGGCTTCTTCGTATATGCCACAGTTTCAAAACAAAACTATCTTTAACAAAACCAAATTTTTAGAGTTTGGAAGATGGGGTAATTTTGATATTGTGACATTCTCTTTCAATTTAGCATGAAAGCAAATACTCTGAGTCAGAACCTTCGCTGCCTATGTGCTCTTACACACAGGAATGTGCATATTAAAAAAATCCTGCTTCTGCTGAAGGAGGTATCTAAACCATTCTGGGATGTATCCAATTTCTGATATAACAGTATTGATGTTACTGGATCTCAACTGGATCTTGCCTCTATTTCGGAAGAAATATTGACAGCTACTGAAGGGCAAGCAGCTTTTTTACCAAGTAAAAGAACCAGCCACAAACGGAACGAGAGATAAAACTATAGTAAAATATTAAAGGGAAGAAAAGATAGAAGGTTAATCTTAAAAATATATATATGCTTCATGTGGAAATAGAAGGTAATTGTGCCTATAAATTGCACAAGCTAGTGAATGCCTTTGAATCTTCACCTGTAAACTTCAGTATCTGCCAGATAAGGTCTATGTTTATAGTAATTTGTTTTAGACCTTAGTTATGGAACCCCTGACACGGCTGCTTACTGGCAGGAATACCAAATGCTGCAATAAAAGTCCTTCCATTTTTTTAAGTCTGTCTATCTCTTTATGGAAGTCATACTACTTTCATACTACTTTCTGTACATACAGAAATTAACCTTAAGTTTTATTCACACGCTATACACTAATATTAATAGTTAAATGAAGCTAGGCAGAAGACTCTGCGATCTAATTACTTCCAGCTGAAAAAAAGAAGGTCATCTATGATAAAAACTAGATTACATGAATAAGCTTTTCCACTATGTGGATTTCTGGGGAGGGGTGGGGCTGTCCATGTGTGTGCTGTCAAAATTTAGAACATGATTTCCATACATAGCTGTACATTTATGCCTAAAAATTTGGTCAGTAGTCTCTCTCAGTAAGATTGTAGTTGTCATGAGCTGTCTTAAAGAACCCATTAATGCATTTCTTCAACTTTTTTATAGTTCTTATCACTTTTAGCAATTAAATTATCAATGCCACACCATCAGAGTTGTTTGTTTGGGTTTTTTTAATATATCACTGACAAAAACTGTGTTAAAATAGAATTAAGATGAACTTCAAGAAAATGCTGGCATAATGTAACTGCAACACCACCAGCACTAGAAATCCAGCACTAAACAACTGGGTTGAAGACAGCGTGAGAGCTGACATGCATTTGTTGTAAATGTCATTAAAGTTCATGGGTTTATTTATTAACGTTATAGTTCCGAGTCAGACAAATTATATGATAATCTGTGTAAGTAAACAAGCATGTAAACATTCAGAGCCCTTAGATTACACGTGCCTATTTTTTTCTGAAACACATATTATCTTTTGGGTTTGCTTCTGTCTCACACAAGAGCTCATTAAAGGGAAGAGCTAAGGCTCTGTGAATAACTCTATAGTCATCTCTTCTATGTTACTGCTAGGAAGTAGTCAGAATATATTCATATTTATGAGAATGTTGTTTACAAGAACAGATCAGGCAGGAACTGCAAACTCTTACAGGATTTTATTTGATTACCCCAAAGCACAGATTAGAGATGTCAGTGAGGGGACTGGAGAATTGCGACGACCTCAGTAACCATGGACACGAAATGAAGCACAGTCGGTACTGCAAAGGCACCGTGTTCTTCCTCTACTACACCTCCTAAAATCTCTGAGCAGAGTGCTGCCTTAACATGACCTAAAAAAATTATTATTAGATACTGAATGGAAATGCTGAACATTTTTCAACATCAGGGACAAAGTGCTCTATAACTCATTCAGTCCTTTTGCTTCAAGCCAACCAGAACTCAGATTCTCAGATCATCTTATCAAGAGTCAGGGGCGTATGTTGTTTTGCATGCACATAGTACATTCAAATCAGTTGTAATTACTGCTAAGGACACTGCTTAACTCAAGACAGAGCAGAAGGACATACCAAATACATATTTTCTGATATATCGGAAAGCATGAGCATATGCCCAGTCAAAATTTACTGACATTAATCAATTAGTAAGTTCCTTTCAGAATGAGGGACACAGATTGTGCAAGGCCTGCATGCCTCTGTGGAGCCAGTTTCAAAGGTTTTGCAGGGAAGCAAAAGCTCCTAACCTAAAAATGCACCCAAAGAGTGTAAACACCACACTTTCCCAGAAGAGATCTAGTAACAGCTTCCTTGCTTGGCCAGTCTCAAAAAAGTATTTCTGTGCCATCTGCCTGTGCAACAAGTGCTACCAGTGGATGCCCCTATCATCTGTTCCGTGCAAAAAGGGTGATATCGACTCCAGGCAGAGCCTGCTAGGCAGAGCTGGGCTGTTGTAGCAGCTACTGGACACGCACTGTCAACAGGAACTAGAGGGTGGTTTTTGAAAACGAACGCCACCACCTTGGGTCTAGCAGTTCCTGGCGAGTGAGGATGCCAGAGGGAACAGGAATATTCACCATCACCTAAAACTGTCCTATGGATCACACATCATCTTTAACACATTTATATACTACAAGATTGATATATTCCATGGAAGGAAAAAAATAGTCCATTCTCATGTATTTAAACAATATAATTTTTAGTTCCATGTTTCAAGATTATATGGAATTAAATATTTTTGACAGATACATAAGTATTGTAATGCATAAAATATATGTATAATCAGAGGGAAAGATGATACTGTTGAGAACATAATTACTGCTACAGACCTATCTCTCAGAAAAGGTCACTATATCTGAACATGGTCTTCAGACATAGATATCTTCAAACAGGACTGTCAGAATTCCTCAGCTGAAATAATATCAACTGCTGAAATTTTGGTTTTTGGCATTTGACATTTGAGTGGCTCAGTTTCTGGGTTTAGCAGAGCAAAGCCCACTTTAATAACCTGCTTTCAACTGGCCTGCCTCCTCATGGAGTTAAGTCAGGTCCTGGAGGCTTACCAGCTCCGTGCCATGCAAAAGCAGCTGCTGC